ATTGTTAGATGTAAACACCTACACAATAAAAATGGAAGTTCGATATAAGAAGACTTCAACGATACCAAACCCCAACTAAATATGTTGTCTTCCTTCATTATTCAGACTCAATCTCACTCAATCGACTGCCTCCATCTCCGGATTGGTCTACATAAACCCTCATTTTTTGTCTTACTAATTTACACCAAAACCAAAACTAAACAACATTGATTTTGCGGCTTGGGACATTATGACTACTACAAACATGATTAACCCTTGCACGTATGAACCAAATAATCTCATTTTGCCCTTTTCCTTTTCTGTTACCACCAATATCAACCGTGTCAAATTAATAAATTCAATGACTTGTGAAGTACGACCAAGTTTCATCCCGAAAAGAATTATATATGTGTCGATTCCATTGGCATGCAGTAGTAGTGTCAGGGAAGATCAAGTGGAGGTGGCAAAATGGATTCGTTAAGACCTTTTCGGCCCGTTTTACACCTGTTTTCCGGCAAGGCATCTTTGACTTTTTAAACAACGATAGTAAAATGGTTCACAATTCTCTAAACAATATTCAAAAGAGGGCGTTTGATGTTTTTATGGTTTTTTTTGTGAACAAGTTAAGTTGCGTTACTCTACTTCTATCGAGGTTCAGTGAGAGCTCCAAAATCTAAAAACTATGGCTAATTTGCAGAGAAAAGAAACTTTCACATTGTGTGAAATGTTCTGTTGTAAACCCTTTTCCAATCTTCGTTTCTCCTATTTATAGTCATCAGGTATAACCGCCCTGGTAATCGCTACTCCAACCATCTCGGAGACTTCATCGTTGCCTTGGTGACAGTTTGTGTCAGCTTGATTATATTGCCTCTTGCCTTGTCCTGACAAGATGGGGTTGAGGTCTAGTCGCAACCCTGCCAACCCTAATGATTCCATACTTGGCTCAATTTTTGTAGAAAATACTTAGCTAATTTGATGTCAACTTAGTACCATCTTCGTCTCGTTACCTAGCCCGCCTCTTTGGCTTTCTATCCTCGTCTTGTTAGCTAGACCTTGTTACCCATCTTGATGGGATGATAACTTAGTCACTTTATCCACCAAGACTCCATACTTAGTCTTGGAGGGCTTGGTTTCGTCTATTCATTTTATCACTTAGCTGACTTGCCACATAGTCCTCCTCGTCTACTTGCTAGTTGCTACCAAGCCCGTCTCATCGAATTGGTACCTTTCTGCTTGCCACTAAGCCCACGCAATCAACTTGACACCTTGTAGTCTCGTCGGCTTGACACCCCCTTCTCCCAAGCCAGTCATGTCAGCGCTTGCTACCAAGCCAGCCCTGCCAGCTTGCTTTTGGAAACTCATCAAGTTGGTACCTTGCCTCCTTGCCAGCTAGGTACCATGTAAGTGGACCACCAAGCCTGTCTTGGGAATTAGTCTCCATATGGCCCCCTAAGGTGCTCTACTTCAATTCCATCAAATTGAAACCCTATTAGCTCGACATCCTGGCCGCCCGTCATCACACCCAAGATTTCATACATAGTCTTGAGAATATAAGGATTGTCCATGATGGCTTGGTACCTCACCTTCTCATTAGGTTGGCACCTGTCTTTTCGGCTTGGTATCCTATTGTTGGGCTACCAAGCCCGTTTTGCCAACCAGGTACCCAAATTTAGTTTTTATTTCTAGACTTAGTTTTTTAGATTCATATTTTCATACCAACTGGCTTGTTACAAGAAGAAGACGCGTATGCTATCGAGGCCATGAGGGAGATCAACCATCTAGGTTAGGGTGAAAGAGTTTGACCATTTAGGCCCAAAATCCCAACCCGATATGGGCTCGCTAACTCATTTAATGATTAATGTTTTTTTTACATAGACAGTAGTCAGGTAAATTCCCGGCCAGTACAGAGTCAAAAACCGAAAATAACATCGTGCGGTAGTTGACAAATAGTCGAATTGCCGATGAAAGGGCCTGTTTTGCCACAAAATAGCAACACTATGAGCAGCTGTACCTGAAAAATGAACAAACACATAGCCGCAAATGGCCGAATATCTATAAATATTGAAAACAACTATGCTAAAATCTTTGATCCTACAATCTCAAGCAAAACGCTTATGCGTCGAAGATTATCCAACCAGCCACTAGAGGTGCCAAACAGGAAATTCATTTCCTCCAAATGACAGTCCAAAAGCCCGGATGAGCAGTGTACCCGCAATGCCTTGCAAAACCGCAACCTTTCCTTTGAGAAAACCATAAAGCTCCATCAACAGCCAAAAGTAACCAGCAAAACAAGAAAACAAATAGGCAATCCAAAAGGATCTTGGGGCTGCTGTTTGGACATCCTCACCACCCAAGCCATAAGATATGAGAAAGGAAGACTACACCATGAAGTAACATTAATAGACTGCACAACGGAGAGGGCCATCACCGGCAGAGCACGATGTCGTAGGCCGTTATCGGCAAGTATGCAGTCAGTGGACTTTCCGATCCATTCATGAAGATAGGGCTAACTTTTTTTATTTTCTAGTATACAGTTTTTTTAAAGAATATGTCATAGTTATAAAAAATAAAATGAAAAGCGTTGGACAGAATTATATAAAACAAAGAAATTATGAAGGATAATTATAAAGAAAAAATAAATAAATAAATAATAGTAATAATAAATAATGGATGGAGTACTTACCTGAACAGCCGATATCCCCCGCGTAACTGCCACTATCCCAGAATTGTAACCGGCATTGCTTTTGAAAGTTGACGTCATTTCTGGTAGACACACCCGCCACTCAACCATGCCAAGGAGTCGCAAAGATCGGCTTTAACGAAGAAGTGTAGAGGAAGGAGAAATGCAAAGGGCTATACGTTCAGTGGACTGTAGAGGCTTAGTGGGGAGAGGAGACGAGAGGACAGGACAAGACTATAGCGACCTGGATGTTTTACTCCAATAGGCGGACATAGACATGGGGATCAAGATGACTACGCCGGTCTGAGTATTGATACAGAGTATCGACAAACGATTTTGTCGAGCACACTGGATTAAATAGTCTGGCGATGAATCGCCACAGATACACCACGATTTAAATCTGAACAAGAGCCCAAGTTTTTAAAATATAGCCGGGTGCAGTACAAGGCTAGTATGTTTTAATTGTCAAACCGGGGCCGGTCCATGTACCCCGATTTCAATCGCTTAGTTTGTTATCTAGCAAACTTTTTTGGTTTGAAAATAAGAAACCTAGAAATGAAAACAAGCAAATAAATTAAATCGAGGTTTTCCCAATGAGAGAAGAGTTCACCCGGGTGTTGCTCCCCCTAGCTAACAATTACGACTTGTTGGATCGAATGGTCTTGTGTGGTAAGTGGGTTGTGAACCGCAGGGAAGTGCAACAAGTAACCAAGCGCCACTCTCTCGGTCTCTAGGTCGAGTAAAGGGAATTTATCCAAGCCACCAATGTGACTCTCTTGACCTATTGACTAAGGGCTGGTTAGACTTTACCCTCGAATAGGAGTTCGAATAGCCTCCCACAATCAAACCCTAGGTGCTAATACGAAATATGAGATTTGCCCTACATTAACCTAAATAGGAGACAATGAATTGTCTAAGAGAATCTAGCATTCAAGCCTCTTTTAAAGAAAGGAAGGGGGTTTTTTCTCTACCTAGATTAGAATGGCAATTAGATTGATATGCTTTAACACAACATAATCATTCATGAATAATACCTCCACATTCACATTAAACACAACCACACACAAATCGTTCATTTCGTACAAACATTCACATGTTTCAAGCTAGGGTTCACAACTCCCAAGTGAATAGGAAGGCTATTCCATAGCTAGGCGAAGGAAAACAAGAAAGAGGAGAGAAAGAACCATGAAGAGATGACAATCTTCCTTCCTCCTAGCTTGAATTTCCCTTGAGAGGTAAGAATCCTCACACCTCTAGTTTAGGGCAAGCCCAATCTCCTTCTTTCTCCCTTGAATGGCACTTTCTCTCTCTAGAATAGGAAGAGGAAACCTTAATCTCTCACTAGAAATCCCTCTTTATTCTAAAGACTAAAAACCTAGAAAAAGCTCTCCTTCTCCTTCAGCTCACTTCCCCTTTTATACACAGATCGGGCTCAAATCACTGTCCCAGTTCAGGGTCGTGAACTCAAGGCGGGGACCGTGATCTCGGGCCAAAATGAGCTGCTTCACTAACTCAGCTCACGGTCATTGGCTTGAGTTCACTGTCTTATGATCGTGAGCTGACTTGAGTATAGTGAAACCGAAAAACTGCGCTGGAACCTCCGCACTTCATGGTTTGGACTTTTTTCCTCTTTATCGCGCTTTTGGACCTCCAATCGACCTGAAACACGTCTTCGACCTTCCCGCACGTGCTAGAACCTGAAATATGATTAAAAAAAAAGCACACCCTAGCGTAAAATAGGCCGAGAGACGATGAAATGCAAAGTCAAACTATCAAGAAATGAGGGGTAAAATGTGTGCATTTAGACCCGAATCAGACTCTATTGTTACAGTTGAGAAATGGAAGTTGCATGGAAGAAATGGCGGTTGTAGCGATAGACATGTGGAGCTGTTCATCGTGGGATTAGAGTTCATTTAATGATTAATATTGAAATGGGCTTATAATCTATTATACCTCTTAAAATTAATCGATATAATATAAGTTAATTTTTTTAATGAGCAAACAAATACTTCCAACGGTATAAGAATTATTCACTAAGTTTTTTACATTAATTATTCCATAAAAATTTAACACCATCGGCGGCGCCATTCTTCCTTAGCCCAACATGCTCATACTTAAGAAGCGCACATTATTATCCTTCCTTGCTGGCCACTCCAGTAGTGTGAGACACTAGAAGCAACCACTTGATCATGCACCAATTTTCCACCTCCTTTTTCTAGCCCAACATGCTCATATATGCAAAAAATTGCATGCCCGTGCAATTATAAAGACAAACCCTTCAACCATTAGCAGTCGTGGTATCCTTAGCAAAATGTAATTTTAAGAATGCAAATACAGCAAATTACAGGATAGCTAGCCGATATTCCCTCGTGACTCCTCGGTCTTGTACTTCGTAAGCACGACTCTTTAGCTTGCTGCCTTTAAGCCAATACTCAACTGTATTTGAGCCAGGCTCATCGTGGATCCCGGCTCGCGCACATCCCAAACCCTCACCGTGCAATAGCCGGAGGCAGAGGCGAAGACGCCGGCGTGTGCTTCTGGAAGGATTGGAGCGGGTTCTGCGGCGGCGGGAGGTTGGTGTCGAAGAGCCGACGGAGCCGTCGGCGACGGCGGCGATGAGAAGGGAGTCGTGGGATTCGGACCAGGCGAGATCGTCGACGCCGCCGGCCGTGTCGAAGGATATGATCTCGGAAAGGGAGAAGACGTGGACACGGCCGTTGCCGATGATACCGAAGTTCTGGGCGGCGGCGACAGCGAGGCGATCCTCGTAGAAGGGGCTGAATTTGACGGAGTAGCAGCTGAACGGCGCTCTTTGACCCAGTGAAAGTAGCGAGCTGCTTTTCCCAATTTGATTGCCATGCGCGGACAACATGAACCCTAGAGCCGTAGAGCGGATCTCTACTTCCACACCATTCTTGTTCTTCTGACGATAAAACGGAACCTTCGCTACCGTCAACAGCCGTGGCAAAGCATTGGGAGACGGTAATCGTTCGAGCCAAATCGGCATCCTGTTCGACAAATATGACAGCAACCAAACGTCTTAAAATTGTTAGAAACCGAACAGAAAAAATTAGGGTTACCGATCTGGCTGAGTCGCGGACTAGGTCGCTCTCTTTAAGACGTTCGCGGCACTGCCTTCGATGCGCACGGCAGACTATCAGCCGGTCGCCTCAAGGATAAAACAGCCACTCTAATTTTGTTGCTCATCGGTTTTGTGCGAAAGCCGGAGCTCTATGAACTCACTCTCTATCTCGTGTTTCTGCTCTCTGAGGTGTGTTTAGAGGGTCTAGGGCGTCTCCTATTTATAGGAGCAGAAAACCCAGAATATTCCCTCTTTCTTTGGGAATAAGTCACATTTTAATTAGGGATATAATTATTCTCATAATTAAAATATAATCTATTAAGATAATTATTCCTAATTATCTCCATAATATTTCTTTTATTAATTATCCATCTTATTTATGTATTATTGGAAAATACTGGATAATTAATTAGGAATTTCATTATAGCTTTTCAAAGCTATTCATCCCAACAATCCCCCACTTGAATAGTTTGAAACTATCTCTGAGCAACAACAGTTCCATAAGATCGGGCATAAGCTAAGGTATCGCGAAGCTTTGAACCTTAGCGTTGTGGTTACACTTCCGATTTCATAAGGGTGACTCGTAGTCTTGAACCCTATCTCAGACAATGTAGCACACCGGATCTTTTCATTGAGTGATATTCTCTCATAGGCCGTGCATTTATGGCCATGCACGTTATCCCGGTTTAGTGAACGCTCTAGCAACTTTGTGCCTCCAAAGTTCCATAGGGAGCGGCCCCACTCCCACATTCACATAGGTGAGTCTATCAGAAGTACCCCCAAAGTAAAGTACTTCACTCCACATAGAGTATAGATCTCATTAAGAGTTTAACTCAACCTCCAAGGCTTTAGGATTCATGCTTCACTATGCATGAACTTTTCGCATACTACTCATGACTTGTTATTACCCATTGAACCCATTTCTTGGGATCTCCAGTCTATTGGGTCGGGTTACCATCACTTGTAGTCCGTGGTTCGGTAGGCATAAGTCTCATACCCTTGACGGTACTTTGGACTTTCTCTCTAGATAATCCTTTCGTCAAAGGATCAGCTAGATTCTGTTAGGATCTCACATGATCCACCCTCATTGCTCCTATCGTTAGGAGTTCTCTTACAGTACTGTGCTTACGACGAATTTGTCGTCTCTTTTCGTTCTAGAACCGGTTCCCTTCTATTGCAATAGTTGCGGTGCTATCACAATTCATCAACTACCGGAGGGATCGGTCTTTCCCATAAGGGAATCTCTAGTAGTGACCCTCTCAATCAACTTTCCTCTTTACTAGCCATTGCTATTTCTATCATTTCTGATTTCTTAATTGATTGAGCCAGGATCGTTTACTTCTTAGACTTCCAAGACATAGCTTCTCTATCGATGTTTAAAACACAACCTCTTGTTGTCTTGGAGTCCTCTATAGGGTATTCTAATCCGCATCACTATACCCTACCAATACAGCAAAACCTTTAATAACAAATACCGAGGTTTTTTCTGTTCTTTTAAGGTTTCTCATGACCCCTTTCAATAGCATTTCAATGCTTCGTACTAGGACAATTAGTAAGCCTGCCAAGAACCCCCCACTAAATCGGGTCTCATGTTTATCAGTTGCCTCTCGCAGACTGTAAATGCTAGTATATTCTAACTTTCTTACACCGTCTTAGGTGTTCTTTAAATATTTATACGAGCTTCATCAAACAAGTATGCAGGTGTACATCTTGTATTTTCCTAGTTATTAGGATCTCTAAGCATAACATTTGTTTCATTCAGATCCTTCACATTCAAAATTCTCAACCATCATGGTTTTTCAATATTGACATTACGAGTCTTTGTACCAAAGATCGACGTGTCATCAATAATGCAAGTGTCATTCTCAAATTTGTACTAAATGCACTTGTCACTTTCACTTTTAAAACCATGAGAGAGAACCAGTTTATGCATGCCATCGTCTTAGAGTCTATTTCATTCTTACAATTATTTGTCTAACTATAGACTCCCTAAGCATGTTCAAGAATAACAACCCTATATGTTGTCCCATGTAGATTTTCCTATCTAAATCACCATTCACAGAAACATGTTTAACAATCCATCTGACGCACAACACTAGCAATCAGAACATACATGGATGTTATTCTACATATGGTGAATAGATAACAAGAAAATTTAAAATTTTTCCTTTTCGCTTAAAGCCTTAGCTATTAGGCGATCCTTATACTCATAAACTAAACCAATAGGTTTTACTTTTCTTTTAAAAATCCATTTATTACTCATGACTTCATTTCCAAGAGGTAATTCTCAAAGATGCCAAATCTTGTTCAATTCTATCTATATATTACCCAAGGCTTTTCAACCAAGAGGTAACTCTACAAGATTTTAAGTCTTATTAGACTCTAATAATTCCATTTCGTTAATAATGGATTCTCCCACAATTCTGCATCTTTATGGAAGTTCGAATTTCTAGCCGACTTGTAGGATCTTTCTTTCTTAGGGTGTAAATAACAAATTCATAACCAAAAACCTTTCGTGATTTATGGTTCATTTGTCTCTTCTGAGTTCATACTCAGATTCGTCAACCCCACTAGTTATCCATTATTTCTAATAGTAGGCACGATATCACCCCCACTATTTCTTAATATAAATGGATTCTATTGGCATCAATGGTTTTCACAAACTACTGAGTATTTCGTTTCATAGGCTTATGTGTTTTACAATAACTTACACACTCATATGCTCTTCTAGTTATCATGTCACTGATTCTCTAACGCTAGCACATATAGAATAATCAGTGCAATCATAATGCAACTAGGCATTTCAAACTATTTCAAATAACTAGTCAAACAATCAGAGCACTCTAAAGAGCAATAAATTGTTTATTGTCTTTTCTATCAAGTTTACCCACATAAATCAGATCTATTTATTCTGATTCTCTAATCACATATTTATGGGTCATTTAGCTTGGATATAGAAAATTCATATTTTTCTCAAGCATCCAATAATAACATGGGAATGCGATATAAGATATTCTAATTCTTCACACAGACACACTTGGAAGAATTTATCTTATCTACTTAACCATTCCTTAAATCTAGGGTAGTCAATGACTTTCTAGAGGCAGGGTTCTCTTCCACTTTTCCAGAACCATCAACAATAGTGGTGAGGGTCTTGCCCAACAACACTTTCTCCTTCAATACGCGTCAATGTATGATTGAGCTTAGCTCGTTTATCACACACATATCTTGAAGCGGTCCTATCCAACAACCATTCTTCAGAGTTACCATCAAGGCTAACCTCTATCATCACCTCAGTGAATATTATTACCAAATCCTCTTCTTTAGTCAAGTTAACACTAGGTTAAACTTGTTCTTACACTTTCGTGTCTTATGACCTAGTTTCTCACAAATTTAACAGAGAAACATAACGTTATTCTTAGAGGATTGGGTGACAATCTTATGGTTACCACAAAGGGTACCATTCTATTTGGTATGGATCTGGTTCGGCTTGCTGCTCTCATTCTTGAAACTTTAATGTTTCATAGCAGCCTAAGTGGTTCGTGTAGTACTAAATATAGTACTTCTTACAATATCGTTAATATGGGACATTTAACCCATTCTATTCCCATATATTCTTCATGTATATGCACGCATGTATTCAATTTATATTCTAATCAACGAGGTAATACACCTCAATGTCGACATATACATGCATCTAGATTGCTTTCTAGCATTCACAAGATTTCTCAATTTCTTGCAGAAATTCATATGAAATTGATTCTAGTTAATCATTCATTAATGATTCATGAAAAGGTTTAAGCTCTTACCTCATTTTGGAGAGGTTATTACTTTCTGGTTTCACAAGGAATAGCTAGCACCACGTGTAGGCTGTAGCTCCCTTGAATCTCCACTTTAATTGCCCATCATACTCGTCATCCTCTTCTCTGAGTCTAGCAACACTAGCTATGTCACAGCCAAGCGCCTTCCTCGTATATTACGATTTGCCAAGTAAAATTCACATCAAAAGGAAGAAAGAAATTGGCGTTAGTAATATTTATGGTACAACAAGACTTCATGGTAATGATTAACATTCCAGCTATGTTAATCTCAAGCAACGTTCATCATAATAATCATGTATGCCTTCCAGTTGTGAAAAATGACATCGACGATTGCTTTTTTCCAGGATAGCTAGCCGATATTCCCTCGTGACTCCTCGGTCTTGTACTTCGTAAGCACGACTCTTTAGCTTGCTGCCTTTAAGCCAATACACAACTGTATTTGAGCCAGCCTCATCGTGGATCCCGGCTCGCGCACATCCCAAACACCTCACCGTGCAATAGCCGGAGGCAGAGGCGAAGACGCCGGCGTGTGCTTCTGGAAGGATTGGAGCGGGTTCTGCGGCGGCGGGAGGTTGGTGTCGAAGAGCCAACGGAGCCGTCGGCGACGGCGGCGATGAGAAGAGAGTCGTGGGATTCGGACCAGGCGAGATCGTCGACGCCGTCGGCCGTGTCGAAGGATATGATCTCGGAAAGGGAGAAGACGTGGACACGGCTGTTGCCGATGATACCGAAGTTCTGGGCGGCGGCGACGGCGAGGCGATCCTCGTAGAAGGGGCTGAATTTGACGGAGTAGCAGCTGAACGGCGCTCTTTGACCCAGTGAAAGCAGCGAGCTGCTTTTCCCAATTTGATTGCCATGCGCGGACAACATGAACCCTAGAGCCGTAGAGCGGATCTCTTCTTCCACACCATTCTCGTTCTTCTGACGATAAAACAGAACCTTCGCTACCATCAACAGCCGTGGCAAAGCATTGAGAGACGGTAATCGTTCGAGCCAAATCGGCATCCTGTTCGACAAATATGACAGCAACCAAACGTCTTAAAATTGTTAGAAACCGAACAGAAAAAATTAGGGTTACCGATCTGGCTGAGTCGCGGACTAGGT